TCGCTTTTTGCTGGTAATATATATATATATATACATATACTTTTCTCGCCTATGACTTTATTATTTATTTATTATCTTTATTTTTTAGGTTACATCAACATTCTTTTTCACACATGTATACTTTTACTTTACCAACCTTATCTAACTCGAATAAGTGGTCCAACAATTGAGGTGGAAAAACTAGGTCAAGATGGTCCCGTTCAACTATGTCTTACCGCTGCTACTACAATTACTGAAATCGCTAGAAAAACTCAAAATCATGATCAAAAAGCTTTTTGTACCTTTAGACTTCCTATCTATGGTTTATCAGAATCTGTTGTATTGGAATTAGTCATTATGAATGGTGCTCAAGTGTTTGAATCAATTGCTAAAAAAGCTTTAAATAATTCTATTAATGAATTAATTTTTGCTACAAAACATTCAAACGTCTATTTTCTACATGAAGCTTCCATTGAAACTGAAAGATTAATTATGCAGACTAATGGAAAATTAAAATGGTTCGAAAATAATTTTATCATCTCTATGGATGATTGTATGGATGAATTTACTGGTGAATTTACTGATGAATTTACTGATGAATTTACTGATGAATATACTGATATAGATGATTATATGGATGAGTAACTATTTTAAATTTAAATTTACTACTTTTTCCACTTCATATGATTTGTCGTAGTATGATTTTTCCTAGATTTTCACGTGCTACTTGTGTTTTTCCTGGCACGTTATTAACAATTATGTATTATATTATGTTATTTTTCAAGTATGCATAGTAATACAGTAAGCAGTGGATGTAGTAAGTAATACAGTACGTAATATATAGCGATGTAGATCATTTAAGCCTTATTGGTGCGAACATGTACATATTGTTATAAACCATTTTATGTAATAAAAAAGTTCTAAATTTCCCATGTATATAATAATCTTTTTTTTCATATACGAGGGACAAAAAAAAATATCAACAAATAATTTATAATAATTTATTTAAATGTATAATATACTTAACGTTAAGTACATACGTACGTACGTTCTACGTTCTACGTACTTTAAGTATCTACGTACTTATCGTTATCTAGGGACTTGAAATTATGCACGTGAATTTGCATATTCTGGGTTTAACAACGATTGGTAAAAAATGCATCGTACAAATTTGACAATATTATAAAAAAATATTTATATTTAGATAAATCACGTCATTTAAGTACAACTTTTAAACGGCAATGTCCGTCTGAAAAAAAAAACATCATAATAAAATTTACCACATGTGTGAGAATGGAATATCGATCATTAAATGACAGAAACAAACATTAAAGAATATCTTATTGTACTTCGACTTACGTACAAAAGTATTGTTTATATGTTGTATAACCTTGATATAAGGAAGTTTTAGAATTGCTGCTGCAAAATTCAATACAATCAAATAAATACATAATGTTAATAATGTTAAGAATGCGTAATACATAGTTTTTTTTTTCCTAGTTTCAGCATGTCACTCTAGTTATAGT